AGGGAGAGGGAGATGGAGAGGGAGAGGGAGGGTGGGGTGGTGGGTGGGTTCGCAGTAGAATAGCGCTTAAAAATCCGCTTGTTGCTTTTTCGAGATGCAAGATGAGACGTAGAGGCAGAGATGGAGAGAGGCAGCGATGTAATTCATGCATCCATGTTGACTGTACTGCCTGGACATGCAACGCGGGCCTCAATGGGACAGCGCCGGATCCACCTGGCATGACAGAACGGAACAGCACATACAGCACCAGATTCAGCGATTGAGCCTTGTCAGAAGCGCAATGGCCATGGGATTTAAGAAATATGTAATATATAATGTACAATATCTAATTTGAAAATACTATATAATATAAGTATATATAATCTATATAATTAAATAATAATATTTTATAACATTATATGATATTATCTGATATTACATGATATTGACTGTGGGACTTCGAAGTGTTGCCCTGGCTGCCTGGCCTGTCGCAGAGCTTGGCACTTTCGGCAGCTGTGCCTTCAAAGTTGCGTGCTTCACAAGTGGAAGGACCGATTGAGCGGCAAATTGAGTTGCCTCGGCAGTGAAAAGCCCATTTTGCTCATTCCACCCAGCACCGACAAGCATCAGGTCCTGCCAAAAGGAAGCAGATGGCAGAACATGGGCCCCTGCGAAGGGCTCGGTGCGCTTCTTATGCCCTTCCTGGGAGATGTCCCAAGTTCAAGGAACAAACACTGCTGCCTTGCCAGATGAAGCACAGAGCGCGCTAGCAGCTACCTGGCAAGGGCCGGGTGATTTATTCCTGCAGCTGCCACGCAGCTGCTACGGCCTCTGCAATCGACGAGGGCTCTCGCCGCCGGCGAATCTGCTCCTCGATGTACCGCACCTGCGAACTTGCCACGTCAGCTGCTGCAAGGAGGATTCGTGCGGCATCCAGCCGTCTCCGTCTCGCAGTCAAAGTCGGTATCTGCCAGAAACCCGAAGTACCGCCAGTACTCGGCGCTCCCCTTGGCAGGCTGCTCAGCTCCCACAACTGCGAGGCTGCGATGATCTCACTTTGGGCAACTGTGAGCTTCGTTTCTCAGGATGCACGATCCTGAGTTGGAAACTCCAGGGCGGCCGCTCCGCCGACTGCACAGCACGTGAGGTCACGTGAGTTTCCGTGCAGTATTGCATCAGGAATGCTGCATATGATATGCCACACACAAATGAAGCTCTTCGAGTGCCTGCTGGATGACGAAGGTTGCTGAGAGATGTCCATTTCAGCTGCAGCCTTTGCCACGGATAAGACTTCCACGAAGTCCCGGCGGCCGTGTTGTTTGCTGTACTCGGCCTACCCTCTCACTCCGATAGCCAAAAAAAGACGTTCCAGGGACGCTTTCAACTGGAGGACACTCCGACACTCCGTGGCCCGCACGGCTGTCAGCGCCTCCGTCGCACGGTCTACCTCGCGGAGGCTCTTACTGTATGTGCTCTCGCGGGGTTATGATCGTGCATCCCGACATTCCCCAAACGCCACCATATCTACAGTATCACTCCTTAGAGTTTTCCAACTGGGAACTGCATCGGCCGAACCCCAAACCCTAGACACTGCGAACATGTCCGAAAACTAGGTTGTGGTGCAATAACGACATGAGATGACAAGCGAAAACCGTTATGCGTCTAGATGCTGGCTTCGCAATACAGCCGAAAACGATTCCAGACCTCCCCCTTTCCTTGTCTTTGTTCGATTCTATGCACAGCAATCATCAAACCTGAAACACTCAGCATCGTCGCCTGTGGATCGCCTTGGAGACCCAGGATCAGCCTTTCAAGAAGGGGATCTCGCATCCAAAATAACCCCTGGCTCAGGGAAACACTGAGCCCTGAGACTCCTCGCCATGGGAAGCACCCACTATTCCCGAGTGTTCGTCGCCCTGTTTGCGCCATCCGCGCGCCTCAGTCCTGCGTGAGCATCGCCACCTACCACGGCACCCAGCTGAATTTCGTGAAGCACTGTCAGTCGCACTTGAGATGGTGCCAGCTGCTATTGCTGAACAGGCAAAGAGAAAACCGCTGCTAGTGGACTGCAAGCCGTCGTGGGACGGAGCGGATTCGCTAGGCAGAAGCAGCGGCAGCACAACGTAGAGTTCATGAGACGGAGCGCGCGCGTGCAGTCTCTCTACTCCACTCTTCACAGTTGTCTGCATGCGCCTCGAGCGTAGCACATTTCGCCAATCCACAGACCAGACCACCTGGCCCATGTGCTTGCGAGCAGTCGGTGTCTGGCCTAAAGCTAAGAAGGATCCGGCGTGCATCAAGCTCAAGCTCAAGCCGGGTCGGCGCTTGCGCCCAGTGCAGCGCTGTCGCGACATCCAGGATGCGCGTCTGACAATCCAACAGCACCCACTCGAGGGGCAGTTTGAATCTCCGATTTCATGTAAGCAGACGGACACCATGCCATGCACCCGGACCCAACGTTGTCCGACATCCTAGAAATGGCGCTTCCTTGTCTGTCTCGAGGCCGCAGGAAGGCAATGGGCAGCCTAGCAAAGACAAGGTCGCTCAGGCCGGCTAGTATTAGTCTCCTCATCTCAGCAACCATTGGCATCTCCTTTGCGGTCCACTTTGCCAGCACACTCCAACTCAAAAGGAGTAACGCGAGTTAGAACAAGCCTACCCAGCCCCAGCCGGAAAGCGCCTGAAGCTTCGAGCATGGCCAACCTCGGCTCTCTGAGTGTGGTTGAAGCTTTAAGCAGGAAAGTCAAGCGATGTCCCCAAGCTTTATCTCGGGCAGGGCCCGACCAGGTTGGCTCATTTTTTTTTGGGAGAATGGGATCTGAACGATCCAGAGGTGGGGTGTTTGACCCTGGCTTCGCTGGCAACCTTCCGCCCAGCTGCCCGGATGTTGCAGACCAGGTGCTGCGGAAGGCTGCCAGCAAGAAAAGTCTTCGAAGCCAGGAGTCAACACTGTGGCGGCATGGATCTGCAAACTCGAGGATTCAGCAATTGCTTAGCTTCGTCAGCATAAAACGTTTCTGAACATGCCGTAGCTTTCCATTCATCATGCCTCGCAGGTTCACAGACCTTGGCCCTGGCTGGTGCATCCCCACGATGCCCCATCGAGTTCATAACAGATGATGTACAGACTCGTCAGCGTCGGAGCGTCGGAGTCCGGCTTTGCAAAATAGGAACCGAGATGTCAGGCTGGAATTGGACACGTTCGCGTCCAGATGCTGGCAAACGGCATGGGCCCTGGCGTGCTTTTGCGTACTTTGGGCGTCTATTGATTCTACTGAGACTGAGAATGCCAGAGCGAGGGAGCCATCCATGCCGTCTTCCACGCATCCTCTCCCGCCCCTTGCCCGGCCATCCAACCAACGACCGGGCAGGTCTGCATTTGCTAGGTCCTGCCTGGGGAAAATGGTGTGGGTGGGATGTCCAGCTTTGAAGGTGATGCCGGTTAGAGTGCTGCGTGGTTGAAGAATTTCAGTCCTGTTTAACGAGCTTAAGCAGCGTACAATCCCACACACTCCCACAGAGCAGATCTCTGCGCCTCCCTTCCCCATTGAGGGAATGGTGGGCAGGGTGCCATTATAGCGACAGCCGCCAGTCAGAATCTGTCTGCATCGACCTTGGCACAGTCGCCACTCGCATCAGACTGCTTTCAACTACTCTGTTTCCCGGATTGGCCATGCAGTCGCATCTGCGAGCTACTCTTCCCACTGCCCAGCTACTTCTTTTGATCCAGCTTTCGGAGTGCCGGGAAGGGCGAGCGCCTCAAGCGGAGTCGGCAGCAAATAACTTGAAGCAGAGAACAATGTGTCCCGCTTGTTGCTGCATGCCAGGGCACGGGGCTCGTGTAACATCCTTTCCGAAGGACTCTTTCTGCAGCATCGCTTCTCCTCCGAAAGTTCTTGAACGCGCCCGGTCTGCGCAATCGCACCCTAAACCCTAAACCCCTAAAACCCTAAAAACCCTAAACCCCTAAACCCCTCAAACCCTAAAACCTTAAACCCTCTCTGAGAATTCTGAGCTTCAGGCGGCAGCCTCTGAGAGCATCCACCAGGAGCGCCTGCAGCCAACAGCTCCGTTCTGCTCCGAGCACGACAACGAAACCCTACAATATGAATGACAGTAGTAGCAACAATAAGAATAACACTGGTGACAATAGTACGAATGACAATAAGAACACGAATAACAATAATTAATTATTGCTATTATTATAACAATAGTAATAACAACAATAGTAATGGTAGTACTCATAGTAATACCAATGGAAATAACAGTATTAATAGTAATACTAGTATTAATGGTAGTAATAGTAGAAATAATAATTAATAATAATAATAATAATAGTAATTATAATAATAATAATAACAATAATAATTATAATAAT